CTCCATTTCATGTCGTGTATATACGATAATTCAATCGTGTCATTTCACAATTTCTACAATCTCCCTCTTCCAAGCAAAAAATCCTAGCAGGCTATATGAAAATCAAATAAAGAACCTACAAGACTTCGATTTTGATTAATTTATACAGTTTGCTATAGGTATAGAAATATTTGATAGAATTTTTACAGAAGAACACATGACAATTTTTCATTGAATTTTGACACAACAATGGCAAAAAATGCACCATATAGGTGCTGCCTTTGCGAATACGGAGAATTATTCTAATTTATAACTATAAGTTGCAAGCATCCTCAATTTTACATTAAATTTTATGTTAATAATTTTGGAATACATTTGTTGTGTCTGCTTTGGGAAACAAAATCTTATTTATTTTGACATGAGTTGAACGGTTTCTTACAGGTAGGGATGGTTGTGGGTTGGGTCGGATCGAATTTTTGCCTAACCCAATATGGCTAATTTGATCTAAAATCAAAATCCAATCAATTATGTGTTCAAACCCAAACTAACCTACACCAATTGAGTTTCGATCGAATTGGGTTGGTTGGTCAATTTGAATTTTGGCCTAATTGCACATAAACTTATTAGGAATTAGGATATACAACATATAGTTGATTTCTTCTAGATACACTATATTGTTGTTAATTTTCAATTTCATTTCTATTTTTCTTGTTATTTTTGAAACTTGTAGATATGCCTCTTTGTTTTCTATGTTTTCGTTCTTTATCCGAATATGTTATTCTCGTCTTTTGTTCATTCTATATACCTTTGTTCATATTTAGTCGTCCATAACTAATGATTGGACGAAAAGAATAAAACGAAGAGAAATTGCTTGAGCAACATAAGCTTCTGTCTGAACTTGAACAAAGAGCAAAATCGAGGAAGAGGTAGAGCAGATTTCAGTAGATTGTCAATTTATAAGATCTTGGAACATGAAACGAATGGAGATGAGAGGATTCACCTCTAAAAATAACTAAGGGATTCACTACTAAGAATGTGAAACACAAAAGAGATGAAGAAAATAAGAATTGACCATATATAGTGATTCAAACAAAAATTGGAGGAGATTTACAACTAACTGGCTATGGGAGATCGATGACTGATGTGGTTGATTGAAAAATAGTGATCAACGTGGGTGGTTTGGATGGGAAATGTTAGGCATTGAGATAGTGGAGATTAGGGGCTAGGATTCTAATTTTGTGTTTGTCTTCTGCTTTCAAACGTCTGTTTTATTCTGGAAGCAATTATTCTCATCCACGTTTTTTATATACTCATCTGCTTTAAAAAAAAAAAAAATATATTACATTTCTAACCTCAAGTAAATTTACTTAAATTGACAAAAGTAAAATCATATAAAATATATCATTTTAAATCTATCCACTTTAGGGTAAGACGACCATCACTTAATATATCTATACTTCTACACTAAGACTTAAGGCTATGATCTGCAAAGAAAATGTTCTTTTAATAGTGATGGCATCTCATGTCCACAAAAGCCACCAATGTCCTTGGCTCTTCGAATTCCAATGCAAAGAAATCCATTTTATGCAATGGAGGAAATTGTTGAGACGGGAGGAAATTTTGAGGACATAAACTTTTTCCATCATATCATCAGTTACTATCACATGTCTTAATTGCATACCAAAATCTTTAGGTAAAAACTAATTTAATCATCCTATTACAAATCTTTTCGTGCGTTTGGACTTTTGCAAAAAGGCACGCAATCACAAAATTGCAATTTTTGGATATTTCCTCACTCTAAAAAGTGAAATTTCTACTGAAAAATATCCATTTTGTACTTAACTCATTCGAGGATTGTATACAATTTTAATGTGGTTCTTTCCTTTCCTTTCTTTTTAAAATTTTATTCCATTCAATGCATTTGTTTTTTATTTTGATAATTAAGGTTATCTTTTAAAACTTCCTAGAAGAATCAGAACGAGACAAATAGTTTTGTTAACTGTAAAAAATTGTTTATCAAAAAACAACGACAGCTCATGGACTTCTTTTAATTGGCTGCATTTCTTCTTCATCAAGATCTCTTGTTTATCCATGTGTAGTTCAGTATATTGATAGTTTGTCCATTCTCGTCTCAATGCATGGTAACTTCCTGATAACTTGTAAATTATTGAGATGAAGGAAATTTTGAGGGTTGAAAATGGGGATATTTGTATTGAAATTTGGTGTGAATGTATAGTTTGAAATGAATGGATTTAATAAGGTTAATATTGAATTAAACGTGGACGATTATAGTATTTTTTATAAAATTTAAAAGTTTAATGTGGATGAACTTAGAGTGGGATTAATATATAAAAATTGTGGATAGAAATATAGGTACTTTTAATTTTCTTTTTCTTTTTTTTCCCTATTTTGTTAAGTAGAAGGGTCGAGTCAGGTCGGATGGTTCGTGGCAATTTTTATGGGTAAACCATAATTGAGTCCAACCCAAACCCATTTTTGTAGCCCAAAAGTCGAACCTAACCAAAATTCTTTCAAAAGTTGACCTGAATTGGACGGTTTGATCAATTCTGTTGGATTTTGCCCATCCCTGCCTACATGAGGGAAGCCAAAAAATTTGCTTAATGGGGCATAATATATATCTTCAAATACAAAGTCTCAAAAATTTTATATTAGATTTAGTATTTAGGCCCCGTTTGGTAGGGATTTTTTGCCCAAAAAAATTGATTTTTTGACCGTTATTTTACTATTCAAGCCGTAATTTTTGACTTCTTCTCTCATATGTGGACCCCACTTTTCTTCTAACGGTCAAAAAATCAATTCTCAAAATCCCTACCAAACGGGCCCTTAGTTACCCTATTTCTAATTTGCTTGAGTACAAATGAGGGCCTTTGGACCTTTTATAATTTCACATCCCTTAAATTGACGATGGAGATTGATTTTATACTATAGTTCATCTTTTTCTCTTGATATTTTTATGGATATGTTTCTTTACATTTTTATTCAACTATTCGTGTCTTATTAAATGGAATATCTAGTTATAAAATCATTTTAATCTCTCTTCTTTATTTTAGAATACTGCTGCTGCAACAAAAAAAAAAATGTATCTCTATATTTCTGAAGTCTTTCATAAATTTCTTTAAATTTTTATCAAATATATAGTTTGGGCACAAACATTGTTCTCTAGCTTTAATATTGGGCACAAACAGTAATTCAATGGAAGCAGTGGTAGTTTGGATCGATTTTGGAAGGTGGGGGAAGAAGAAGAAGAATTATTATTATTTTTTAAATATTTTTATTTAATTATATTATTATTACATGATTTTATGTGAAATAATATAAAAATACAATTTATATTGATCAAAATCATATATAAATACACTGGGCAATCCTGAGCCAATCATGTCAAAGTAAATTTACAATTACTCCGGGCATTTCGAGTAAAGGAAGAAGGACTGTGCTAGTTGTACAGAAGGGTGTTTACACCCTTCTCGACAGATCAGACACATAAAGAGGTGGGGGCCACGACTTTTTGCATTTTTTATTCACGTCGGTCAGCTCGGGACCCACACACATGTGAGTATCTGTCATGGAGGGTGTAAACCATTTCTGGTAGAGGAGCTTTATTCAAGGAAGAACAACCAATACAACCTAGAGATCCAAAACAAATGACTCATATTAAGCCCTTGTTTGAGTCCTATTCTTTTGATAAAAAATGAATTTTTGAATAATGTATCGATGAAAAATGTGTAGTTAAAAAATAAAGAAAATTTTTGAATTTACATTTAATATTATTTTATTGAAAAATGTATGGTTGAAATGATGTCAAAACACTGTTTAAGAATGTATTTTAAAAAAAATGAAAATCAAATAGAGGTCGAATCAAAATATTCGAATATATAAAAAAAAAACATAATTTTATATACATGTGTTTTGATCCGTCGAACAATACTATCATCATGCGATCTTAGATCTTCAAAAATCAACCTATTTGGTTAACGGTACCATTTTATCCCTTCTACATTGATCAGAAGATGTTAACGAAAATTTTTTAATGGTCAACTAATGATTTGGACTCTAGGTGCAATTTTTTTACAGATTTGATATTGTGATTGACACAAATGAAATGTTTAGATCAAATCCGCTACAAAAATGAAAGGTTTGGTGAGTTAATATTCAAAATAGTCACCGAACTTTGCCAAAAGTTCCTAGGAGATCTCCAAATTTCAAAACTTTCCTAACTAGACATTGAATTTTGCAAAAAGCTTCTAGGAGGTTACTGAATTTCAAAACTTTCCTAAATAGTCACTAAATTTTGTAAAAAGTTCATAGAAGGTCACTAAATCAGTAATGTATGGGGTCTTGATTTGCAAAGTTGAGTGACCTCCTAGAAACTTTTTGTAAAGTTCAGTCAGTAACTATTTACGGAAGTTTTGAAATTTAGTGACTTTTTGGGGGCTTTTTGTAAAGTTCGGTGACTATTTAAAAAACTTTTGAAGTTCGATGACTTCTTGAAAACTTTTTGACAAAGTTTGGTGACTCTTGAAAACTTTTTAACAGAGTTGAGTGACTATTTGGGAAATTTTTTTTTTTTGATAATCCAGGTGTCCCAGCTTAGCCGGACTAAATCCTGGACCTCTAGCCCCCGACCCCTCAGTGACTAGTGGAGGTAAATCGCAGGTTGTGCCCTTGTCAGTGACTAGTGGAGGTAAATCGCAGATTGTGCCCTTGTTGGTTCCCACATGACTTTTACTCCTTCCCCAAAGGGACCTTCCTCCATGGTTATTACATCACCAAGCTGCTACAACCCTTCCTCTGGTTATTACATCACTTGGCTGCTCCAACCAGGAATCGAACTCCCCACACTTGTTCCAGAGCCCTCAATGTGATTGTTCCGCCAACTTGGATGTGCCCTGGGGGCGACTATTTGGGGAATTAATTCAAGGTTGGGTACATTCACTACAATTTTCCCTTTAAAAATTGAATTAGAATGGGAATTTTTTTTTTTTTTTTTTTTAAAAAACATCCAAGACCTAGGCGATTTCCTCCTTGGAACCAGTTTCCTGTCTGGCAGTGATTTCTGCTCAACTTCTTCATCAACAAAGTTGGAAGGTAGTGTCGGATTTTTATAAATGTAAAACGGGCATTTTATGTTGCAATCGCACTCAATCTGATTGTTGTGAATGATTTAATTCTACTCAATTCCTTATAATTTATTTATTTTACCAAAATTGTTGTAATCTTCTTCTACCAACAGTATTTTTTCGACGTCCTTTGCCTTGAACTTTTGATGCGGTTGTTTATGGTGTTTTCCTTGCCTTAAAAAACTGGCCCAGGACCAAAATCCCGGGGGGTGGGGGGGACTCCAGGTGGCTCCGCCCCTACTTTCTTACTCTTAAGACTTCTGAGCAAAAATTATTTGAAGATTATCTGTGACGTTCTTGTACCACGAAGCAAAGTGCCCTCTTAGAAGCCCTTTCCAGAATAACACAATTTGCATAAAGATTTTATTTAATGGAACATGAGAGAGTGAGGTGAATCATCTAGATCGGTTTTGTTAGCTTTGCAAAGTTATCTCGTACTTGCAATTTTTGCATACAAGGAATCCCATTATGGAATAGCTATAAGATTAATGGCCTCGCATAGAATATTTTCTGATGCTCTTCGATAATTCATATATTCTTTCCAATTTCAGCTGTCGGTTCACTTTGTAGACTTCCAACTTGAAAACCGCCTTGATAAGATGTAGTTTCTTATTAATACTTCTCTTAAAAATGATTCAAATCTTGGACTTGTAAGAGAAATTTTGGTTATTGTCATTTTAAATTGGACAGTACCGGAAATTTTCATTTTTTCTTCCTATAAAACCTTTACTTTTTCTCATAATAATGATAAACTTACTAGTGCGTCCTTGCACTTTTAGGGCTTTACCTTCTAGTAATGAACTTAGTCCTTCATCCAGTGGTATTTTAATGAATAAATATGAGGCATTTGATGAGTATGTCATTCTCATTTACTCTCGTATGTATGTTATTTGCATTTCTATAACTATATAACAATATTAAATGAAATTAAGTAGTCCTGTTTATATTTCACTTTCTGTAGCATTTCTGGCTGCAGCGATTGTAAAATTCATGATATTAGGCTTTCCTAGGTCGACTTAGCAACGCTTTATTAGGTTTTTTCGGTCATTTTCTTGTTGATTACTAGCACTCGGAATTCTTTGCAGAAATTAGTATTCTGTTGGTTCAGTTTCTGTAAAAATGTCTGTTCCATTGACGCCTTCGAAGAGACCATACGATCGGAATCCTGGAGAGTTAAATGGTAGAGGGAAATGGCAAAAATTAGCAGCTTCTGGTTCAGAGAATTCTACATTGAGAGGACCCCCAGTTAGCAATATTATACGTTTACTCTGCCCAGCTTCCAAGATTGGTGCTGTAATTGGAAAAGGTGGGGGCGTTATATCTCAGATACGTCAGGAAACACGGGTAAAGGTCCAGGTTGAGGATACTTATCCTGGATGTGATGAAAGAGTCATTGTTATTGTAGGCTCAGATAACGAAAATGAAGTTGGCAGTGGACACAGCAAGGCAGCAGATGGTGAGGAGGCTAACACCAACGGAAAGGGTGATGAGGGTGGGGACATAGATGGACATGGAGAAGTTGGGGACACAGATGAGCATGGAGAAAATGATGAAGATAAGCAGTCTGTCCCAGTTGAGGATTCTCAATCAGAAAATGTAGTTTCATCTGTTCACAAAGCTCTGTTACTTGTGTTTGAAAGGATCATTGATGGAGAATTAGAGACGGATGGAGGGGATGATGGGGGTAATAAGGTTCCCTCGTCTGTTGTGAGGTTACTTGTGTTCTCCAGTCAAGTAGGGTGCCTGCTAGGAAAAGCTGGTAGTGTTATAAAACAGATGTCTTCAGAAAGTGGAGCACAGATTCGAATCCTTCCGCGGGACAAACTGCCTTCTTGTGCATCTTCTTCAGATGAGCTAGTTCAGGTATCTTGTCATATATTTTTACTTTGCATTTTAATTTGTATGGCTCTGATATGAACATATAGCTAATGATATCTGCACTTTAGGTTTACTTTCTCTTTTTCAGTACTTGTTACCAAGACTGTCAAAAGTTGCTTGTAACTAAATTTGGAACCAGCAACTTCATAAATTCTATTTTCTTTTTCTTCTAATTTATTTCCTAGAGGACCCACAATCTTCTGTCAGGTGCAATTTGTTGCGGAATTATAATGTTACAGCTAGGTGCTGACAGGTACATTCAAACACTGAAGGGCAGATGATTGTTGACATTAAGAAATATTTATTAAATGTTAGGAGCTCAATGAATTATCTTTTCTACTTTATGCTTCGTTTACTTTTGATATGTCGGATTTTTACTTCCTATAAGTTGGTGGACCTAAGGTTATTTAAAAAAATCTGGTTCAATGCAGCACAGCTGAACGCATATCCTGTATGGTTATGGTGTTTGTGTCAGTTTGATAACTAATGATTTCTTATTTGTGTACATCATTGAATTTGGAACCCAAATATTCAAATATAGGACAATAGAATTGTTGTTGTTTTTTTATTTTTTGGTTTACATCGAAGACGCTTTTAATATAAGAGTTTTTTTTTTTCTTGAACAATTTTATGGCAGATTTCTGGAGGTCTTGATGCTGTTAGAAAAGCTCTTCAAGCAGTTTCCCAGCAACTACTTGAACATCATGTTCGCGATCAGGACTCTCTCTCTTCAGATCCCAGGGGGCCCTCATCTTCTTCCTTTGGTCCTTCTCCGAGACAGGACGCATTTCAATATTCAAAACGTCCTCTCCGTGGACACGGGCCACCACATTCTTCTAGACGTCGTGGTGATGAAGCTGGATTTCTAGGCAGGATGAATCCTTCTCCAGATTTAGTTAGCTTCCGGTTATTGTGTCCGGATGAGAAGGTGGGTGGGATAATTGGAAAGGGAGGAACTATAGTCAATGCACTTCAGCATGAAACTGGCTGTGAGATCAAAGTCCTGGACCGTGTAGCTGATTCAGAGGATCGCATAATTGTCATTTCTGGCCCAGCTGTATGATTCTGAGTCTGCTAAAGTTTCATACCTTGTTTTTCTCTTTTACTCTTTTTGTTATTGATGCGATGCAGCAATGGTAAAAGTTTTGTTTCTATAATACAGTACCCAGATGAAAGAATATCTGCCCCACAAGATGCAGTACTTCGTGTACAATCAAGAATATATAGGGCTGCACCAGAAAGCAACGAGGATACATTGTTGGCAAAACTTCTTGTCTCCTCTAATCAAATTGGATGTCTCCTTGGCAAGGGTGGTGCTATTATTGCTGAAATGAGGAAATCAACTGGAGCTTATATCCGTATACTGGGGAAAGATAAAATCCCAAAGTGTGCTTCAGAAAATGAAGAAGTAGTTCAGGTGGTGTTGGATGAAGGAACTAGTGTTTCTTCATATGGTTTTTTCCAGAGCCTATTTTATTGTTGTTGTTTCTTTATCACTTTGTCTAAAGCTTTATCCCTATGCCCCCTTTCTTATGGCGTCTAGGGAACAAGTAAATGTAGCACTGGACTCATCTTTGACATTTTCTTTTTGCTTGGGTTTTATTTGCATTTGCAGATAAATGGAGATTTCGAAAGAGTTGAAGAGGCTCTTTTGCAGATAACTGCAAGATTGCGAGATCATTATTTTCGTGATGCATTTCCTTCTAGGCATCACCCTCCTAATCCAGGCTTTCTGGACCAAACACCTCAGTTTCCTTCATACATGGGAAGGAGAGAGCTTTCTCCTTCAGGGATGTTCTCTTTGGGTCCATCTTTTCACAAGTTCGATGCAAATGTTGGCCTTCCACCGCGTGGTGGCTTCCATCCCCATAATGATCGCCCTCCTTTTGCTCATGATTTTCATAGACCTGGCATGCCTCCTCACGTTTCTGAAAGAATGCCATCTGCAGCACCATGGGGACCTCAGGTAGAATTTGTCTATTATGTCATACTATGTTGCTAAGTCACTCATATTACGCCATAGTGATTTTCATGAGCCTCAGATAACTTTTCTTCCAAGTTCTTTTGTCAAATAATGCCTTTTTTTTCATTGTGATTGTTTGAAATGTATATCTACTCTTTGGTTTAAGAGCATTTCAACATAATTGACCAGTATCCTATGCTAACAGTCATTTGTGAGAAAGATGGCAGTAGTTCACGTTTTGATGTCTTACGAACTATTGCACAGGGGGTTATTGAAGACGCTGGGCTAATAGGCTTCCCGGATTATCCAGGAGCTCCTCAGAGAAGACTTGGTGGATTTGGAGGGTTTGTCCATTCTAGATTTTTATAACCAGTTATTAGTTTTATTTTTTATGGTTTTTTAATTATACATTTATTTCACCGATTTAGAGGAAATCATCCAGCTATTATCACCAGCACAACTGTGGAAGTTGTCGTTCCTCGCTCTGTTGTTCCTGCAATCTATGGAGAGGATGGTGAATGTCTTGGACAAATACGTGAGGTATACATTTTTGAAACATCCTTTGATGATCAGACTTTTCTCTTCTGCTGGAAAAATTGACATTTTCCTTTTGAAACTTAGTCCTGTTGGAATGGCAACTAGTATCCTATTATTTCTGGGATTTAGGAAGGATTTTAGTTAGTCCCTTGTATAACGATACACAGCCCATATTTTTAAACTTTGTAGTCTCTTCCTGGTTAGAGGTGCTAATTAAAAGCCAGTTCAATAGATAAAAGGCTTCATGGTTTATCTGCAATATTTGAGTAGATACAAGCGCACTTAGCTTTTAAGGCTTCTTCGCATATCTTGAATTTAGGCACCTTTCCGGTAGCATCATGGTGGATGTAAACTTTCACGGGAAAAGATGCCTGTAATTCTTCAAAATGCAGTGGCACACTACTACTCTTTAACTTTACCAGGGGAATTATATGACTTCACCGTCTTTTTAGAGGATGTGTATAGTTATAGAAAAAAAGCTCAAATTATGGAGAAATAATTGAAGGGAAATTGGTGCAAATGGTCTCAAATGTTTGCCCTTCTTGCATTTTTTGTCCAAACCTTCCAAACATGACACAGTGGTCCCAAACCTTTGCATTTTTGCACAATTGGTCCTTGTGGATGGATTCCATCCAAAAGGACTATTAGTTTTGCACCTGAAATGCACTTTCTTTTAAAGATAAATTGCATATGCAGTCTCAAATTCAGCAAAAGTAACAATCGCAACTCTAACTATTTTTTTTCAGCATATTTTTGTTCCCAATCTTTGAGAAATAGCAAAGTCAATCCCTTTTTTGTCAACTTCCCAAATCCTACGACCCCTTCTCCACCCTCTCCCACAACCTCCACCTATCCACTCCAACCCTCAATAATTATCAAGAGAACACAACCATTCCCTCTAAAATAAGTTTTTATTTATTTAGTTTTGTTTAATTTAGACTCTTAAATTGATTTACTTTAAGGGTTGGATTATTTGTCAAGTACATTGGTCAAATTCATAGGTAGGAGGACTGACTTTGCTATTTCTCAAAGATTAGGGACAAAATCCTACGAAAAATTAGTTAGAGACAAGATTGCTACATTTGCCAAAGTTGGGACTGCATATGTAATTTATATTTAGAAGAATGTGTAGTTCACTCACAAAACTAATAGCGTCATTGGATGGAATCCATTCAAAAGGACCAGTTGTGCCAAGAATGCAAAGGTTTTGAACCATCAATCTCGAGTTTGAAAGGTTTTAAAAACGCAAGGATTAATGTTTGGAACCATTTACACCAATTTCCCACGATTAAATTATGTAAATTCCCAATTATAGATTCTAGTTTTGATGAACAGCCTAAATTGTCCCTCTTGCATTATTTCAATTCGACCTTTTAGTTTTATATACAGTATTGGTGCATTTTCACATACATCTTTGAATATCCAAGATATTTTTTTAAATTAATATGTTTCAATGGGTGAATTGTCTTAAGTTCAAAGTAGTTAAATGTTTCTGTAATTATTCCGTTTCAGATTTCTGATGCAAATATTACCATCACCGATACCAAACCCGGAGCGACAGAAACAGTCATCATAATTTCTGGGACGCCTGAGCAGACCAGTGCAGCACAGAGTCTCATTCAAGCATTTGTAATAAGCGAGACCGATACATCTTGATCTTTGATAGAGGTATTTCTATAGTTTTTATGATCGCAAATTAGAAATACATTGTTTTCTCTGAGTTGATTTTTGGCATTTACTAATTAGTGTGTTTGGCTAAGCTTAAGAAGGAAGTAAAGTTTATTCCAAGTAACTTTTAGCTTCCAAACATGTTTAGAAATGTTAATTTTTCTTACTTTTTAGGGAAAAAATTACATGTTCTTAAAGTAAATTTTTCTTTGCTTTCAAAATAACTTGGTTTAAACTTTGACAAGTGGAAAGGATTATTTAATTTGAAACTTTTATTTACCTATAAGTAAACTTGCCTATAAAAGAAAATTTTCAACTTAGCCAAACATGCTGATACGTCGTCTTGTATGAGTTGTATGATTTCTTAGTAATTTGGATGCAAGACTTTAATTTGTCTTGTTGATATTCGCGAGCAGGTGAAACAGTGATTGAAGAATGTGGAACTTCCTACTTTATCGTGTGGTTACAGCTTAGCATATTCGAAGTTTTACTAGGAAAAAACTTGACATTGCTATTTATCTTATCTGGTGGTAAAAATACCTGCCCAGTATCAATACAAGGTAGCTTCCTGATCAAGTTGTACTTTGGATTGCAGAAGCTTTTAGCTTATGTTTTTAAATGGATCAAGAATTTTGTGGGGATGGGAAGAAAAAAAAGTTACATGTCTTACCCTCATTGCATGGTGTAGTATATGTGTATTTTCTATGATGCAGACGAGCTCTAAATGGCCCTGTTTACTTAGTTTCTACATTGGGATTTTGGAAGACATTGGAGGTCTCTTTTGGAACATTTTCATGTATGTTTTCCGTCCTCCATCTTCCAACATATATATGAATTCACCAATTGAAAAACAGACTGCATTTTTTACCTGTTTCTTGAGATTGTTTTATGTAATAAAATCTTGACTAGTTCTGAAAACAGAAAACATATAATTGATATTTTCTGTATCTGTAGGAAGGAAAAAATGTATAGATACAATATCAAACAAATTGAGCTTCCATTATGAGGATCCATGTGTCATAAATTCTAAAAAAACAACTGAAAATTTCCAAAAAATCTTTTGAATGAGCCCTATCTGCACTCATTTTTACATCATTTTGATAATCAAATTAGAAAGAAATGGAAATATTAGGTACATTAACAAGTAAATGAATTGTAATTAGATCTTCAAATAATTTTCCCTACACAAATTGTTGTAAGAAACCCGAAGAGAACAGCAAACACAATCCCCCCCCCCCCCCCCCCCCCCCCAAAAAGAAAAAAAAAAAAAAACACACAAAAATCAGTTTCATTGTGTTGAAAATACCCCCCCCCCCCCCCTCCCTGAAAAAAGGGAAAAAAGAAAAAGACCTGCTATACTGTGTGACTGAAATTGAAATGTTTATTGAAGTTGGTTGGTAGTCCTTTTATGATTTTGTCGACTGCAAGTTGGAAGATTCATTTTCATCGACTTCATTTTATGATGCATGTGCATGTACTGTATGTGCGATTATACCAGTCGATACACCGAGTGATATAGTGATGAAATTCTATCCAACTATAGCAAGATTTTGTTTTCTTGCAAGGTCATAATGGATTGGGATATTCATGTGCTTCGGGTTAAGGAACAGTAAATCTCAGGAGAAGTACCCTAATTTATATCCAGAAGGGAACAATGACATAGGAAAATCGGCTGTTTTGGTTGATGATGTGATTCGAAATGAAGTGGCCTAAGATGATGTAATTTTGTGAATGAAACAACATTCTCTTTGAACCCCACGAGGGGAAAGGCAATTTTCCTAGTTATAAACAATTTTACTGAATATAGAATATCAGTTTCCTGTGATCTACAACTTTACTGAATCAAGGACTAGAATAAGCCCCCAATAGGTTGGAAGTTTCTAATTCTGGTAGGATACATCATGTATTGCATTTGGTAACTAGATGACTTTTGCAAGATGTTCATAAAACTGAAGAATTCCTTGTGGTCCGATCCCAGTTTATGTTATTGTGAGATATTTGGTTTGCTGATTATATTAAGAAGGAAATCAGCAACTGCACTGATGCATTATCGAGTTTCCTAAATAGTCAATTTTCTCCATGAACATATTCGAAGGCTTTCTATCTTAGGTGGAAGGGAGTTTCTGACTTCGTGATTGCTGCTTGTATATAGCATTATGGAATAGCGATTGATGTTGAAATGTATGGTTAAAAAAGAATTTTTTTTTTTTGATATATGTGTAATATTATTTTAATGGAGAATGTGTGGTTAAAAATGAATACTGTAGAAAAAATATTGTGGTAGAATGTGGGAGAATGGTTGACAAGCAAAGGCTTAATTTATAGAGAATATTTGCCCATTTGAGCCCATTTTTGGATAAGCATGTATTTTGGAATAGAAGATTGATGGAGTGTGTGGTAAAAAATATAAAAAAATTTTGGATTTACGTATAATATTATTTTATTGTAAAATGTGTGGTTTAAAAGAAGAGAAAAAAATGTATTTTGTGTTAAATTTTATAAAAATGAGTTGGAAAAAATGGAGCTCAAACATTAGCAAACCTTGGTTAAGGTTTGCCGAACTTGAGTCTCATCATTTTCCTCTTTCTTTTTAAAATTTTTGATAGATCCTCCAATATTATTTGTTGCCATATCCCCAAACTTTGGAGTTGATTTTATTTTCGGTTCATGACTTTCTGCATCCGAATTCACACATGGACCCCAATACATTTGGGGAACATTCACACAAGGAAAAAAAAAAATTAAATAATATATGATAATTCATGCTGTAAATTCTAGATATTTTACAAAAGTAAATCAAAATTACTTACTCTCATAATCTCTCTGGTTTTTTCTATCTGAAACAGATCAACAGCTAGTAATATGGTCGCAATTAATGACATCTAGAATTGTTACATATTTTACAAAAAAAAATAAAAAATAAAAATAAAAAAATTGCTAAATTACTGAAATCCCATGCCTGATCTATTTTAAGTAATCGAACACAAATAGCCAATAAACCACTATCATATTGGTTACAACCTTAGAAATCAACTATGTTTAATGCAAAAAAACATAATAATAATAATAATAATAATAATAATAATAATAATAATAATAATAATAATAATAATAATAATAATAAATAGATGTTTGAAAATCATTTTTCTGAATCGTTAGGTAAACGAAATAATTCGTATTTTATCTTATTTTGAAACTTTGTGAAACAATATTGATGTCTTTTTTCATCATTAATGTTCCATATTCTTAATTGAAAGATTTGATCAGTTAGGAATTTACGTTAAGGGAGGCAAAAATTTTAATGTACGAACAAAATTTATATTTCACATAGTAATGTAATGGATAAAGATGAAAAAATGGGATAAAACAAGCAATTTGTGAAGGATTGGGCTGGACTTATTATTTTGGGCCAATAGTTTTGGATGTAGGCTTGCCCCATATCATCATACTTTTTTATTTATTCAAATTTTAAACACCCCGTGTTGTGTTGCACCATATGATTATTGATATGTTGGGAGATGCGCAAAACGTTACATTTCTCAAAGTATCGGCTTGTTGTGGATTTTTTAACGATGATATGTTTAGTGATTTCTAGCTTGTTCTAACTTATTTATCGCAAATCAAGCACAATATAATGTTATAAATATTAGCGTAATATATTGTATGTTACATATTAATATTCTTTGACTTTAATAGAGTGTTATAAGATATATACTATTACATATTACAAATGATACTCGTTTGATAAGATATTTGATATTATGTATACGGAAGCTCCTAATGTTTTCAAGCGATATTGTTATACATTAAACGAAGGGTGTGAAAGTTCAGAGTCAAATATGTTACAAATTTATGCACATCCTCTTCTGTTAAACCCCTCTTTCTCTTCTCTCCACACAAAAAACCAATTTCTAATTCTCCTCTTTTGTTGTTTTTACCCCCATTTTCCCTTAAATTTTGCCACCGCAATACTGAAAATCTCAGCCACCATCTCTGTCGGGACAATCTTCCCGACACCACCCTCTTCTCTTTCAACTCTTCCCAACGAGCTTGAAACAATCTATATTTTTTAGCTGACTTCTAATGAAAAACTGTTCTGTTTACAGTTTCGGGGACGTTTAATTTGCTCCCACTTGTTCCTAAAACAATGTGAAAAAATCTCCATTCAATGGGCTGATTATCGTATTGGGCTTTGTTATTTGGACAAGTTTTACAAAATTTTGGTAAGTTGCTATTGGGCCTTTGCTTTCTTGGGCTTGGTGTTTGGACTTCTTTTAGTGGGCTGACTCATACATTTACCACAATCTTGTATTATCTATGTTATTGAGTTAAGAGCATCATGTCAAACAACAAATTTGATTATTTAGTGTGTAGTACATAGCTAAAAACTATTCTGCATGGGAATTCAATTTGGACGTTTGTTTTCTCTGCATTTTTTTCATTCCTACTTGCATTTCTTTAGCTTGTACTAACGCCAACAACAAAAATTAAGTATGGCACAAACATTTAGGTCATCCTAATTCTATGAATTATTTTATCTCATTTAATAAAGATTTTGTTTGTTGGGAGATAAAGATCACTTTTCTTCTCATATATCTTTTGAGGACAATTTCATTTGTACCGAATAAAATGTGCCGAAAGTTGTCCCCACTCTCTAAGGGCGGATCCAATGGGGGTCCCCTAGGGTCACTTGACCCTCCAGTATTTATTTTTTCCGGGCTCACTATGAAATATCAAACGAAATTGAAATATTACATTCTTAATATCATTTTAAAGTACTCACACCATAGTATTTTCACGTTGTTAATGCAGTGCGAAATGACCAATCGTAACAAATGTTATGACGCGTCAAAATAGGCAGTTTCAAATTAATATTTCAAGAATTTCGATAACAAACTAACTTTAAAAAATTTTCGATGATTATATTCTAGCCATATCCATAAATTTTCTATATCCTCTCGAAACTCATTTCGAGAATTATATCATAAACATATCGAATGATCTAAATAAATATTGAAAATAGTTAAACATACGTCAAATGTGTATGCTAAAAAGAGATGTATAACTCGTTTTTTTTTTTGAAAAAAAATTTCAATTATATTACTAATGTTTATTATTTTTGCGCAAAAAAATTCTCAATATAATTTACATGATTTTATCAAGAAATTTTATATGTGGTATGACGTCAAATTTTATTTTTTTTGGACGAAAAATTCTTAATAAAATTTTTAAATAGTTATACTATTTTTTCATCTTAATTATTTTTATATCTGAAAAAATTTTATATATAAAAAAATTCAATCATTTTTAGGATTTTTTATTATTATTCTTACATTTTCTTCTCGATCAATTAATTTTTTTTCAAATGACATTAAAAAATTTATTAGGAAATTTATTAGATTATTTTTCAAAAAAAAAATAAAATTAATTGATTGAGAGGAAAACGTAACAAAAAAAAAATCCTATAATTGATCATTTTTTTTATATATAAAAAAATTGTAGATGTAAAAACAATCAAGATGAAAAAGTAGTATAATAGTTTATGACACATATAAAATAATTAAAAAAATTTCGTCGCTTTTTAAAAAAATTTGATTGTGACCCCCTAATATAAAATGTCTGCGTCCACCCTTGCCCCTCTCACAATGCATGCGGGCCCACGTGAATAAAAAAAATCCCGAAATGTGGTCCCTACCCCCCTTTGTGAGTAATAAGTAAAGAATTAGGTAAAAAAATTATGTACATATAGAATTGTCCATCGAGGCGTGCTAATGGGGGGCTGACCGAACCCCATAAATAGGGGGGAAGGCCCATTTTTTTTTTGCGAACCCCACCCCCATTTGTGTGGCTCCTGTCAAGGAGGCGGT